TCCACTTCTATATCCTTCCCTTCAAGGCTCAGGGGTCCAAGATTATCTTCTGTGTCTGTGTTAATTGGTTTCCCTTTTCTTTGTTGGAGAGGGTCTGTGAAGTCTTTCTGCCTAGTCTGGCATCTTGCTGGAACCTCAGGATTTTCATTTTCTTTATGGTGAGATGTAATCCATACTACAGACTGTGGTTTTTAATCTTCATCCGTAACTGTTTCAAGTCATCCTCACTTTCAGCAAGCAAAGTTGTATTGTCTGCGTATCTCAGATTGTTAATGAGTCTTCCTCCAATCCTGATGCCATGCTCTTCTTCATATAGCCCAGAGTCTTGGATCATTTGCTCAGAATACAGATTGATTAAATACAGTGAAAGGATACAACCCTGGAACACTCCCTTACTGATTTTAAACCATGAAGCATCCCCTTGTTCTGTTGGAAAGACAGTCTCCCGGTCTATGTATAGGTTCCTCATGAGCACAATGAAGTATTCTGGAATTCCCATTCTTCTCAATGTTAACCATAATTTGTTAAGATCCACACAGTTGAAATATTTTGCAATGAAACAATAAAACACAAGTAGACATCTTTCTGGTATTTGCTTTCAGCCAAGATCCATCTGACATCATCAATGATATCCCTTGTTGCCTGTCTTCTTCTGCAGCCAGCTTGCATTTCTGCAAGTTCTCTGTCAATATACTGCTGAACACATTTTTAAATGATATTCAGCAAGATTTTACTTGAGTGTGATTCTAATGATATTGTTCAATAATGTCCACCTTCTGTAGGATCAACTTTCTTTGGAATGGATACAAATATGGATCTCTTCCAACCAGTTAGCCAGGTAGCTGTCTTCCAAATTTCCTGGCATAGATGAGTAAGTGCTTCCAGTGTGGTATATGTTGGAACATCTCAATGGGTATTCTTTCCATCAGTTCCTGGAGCCTTCAACAATTCCTATGGTGCAGCTTTGACTTCTTCTTTCAGTACCATTGGTTCTTGATCATATGATACCTCCAGAAAAGGATGAACAGTGACCAATTCTTTTTGGTACAGTGACTCTCTGTATTTCTTCCATCTTATTTTGATGTTTCCAGCATCATTCAATATTTTGCCTATAGAATTTTTCAATACTGAAACTTGAGGCTTGAATTTTTTCTTCAGTTCTTTCAACTTGAGAAATGCTGAGTATGTTCTTCCTTTTTGGTATTCGATCTCGAGATCTTTGCATGTTTCATTATGATTATTTACTTGGCCTTCTCGGGCTGCTCTTTGAAATCTTCTGTTCAGCTCTTTTATCTTTTCATTTCCTCCATTTTCTTTAGCTATTCTCCTTTTAAGAGCAAGTTTCAGAGTCTCTTCTGACATCCATTTTGGTCTTTTCTTTCTTTCCTGTCTTTTTAATGACATTTTGCTTTCTTCATAAATGATGCTCTTGATGTCATCCCACAATTCTTCTGGTTTTTGGTCATTGGTGTTCAGTGCATCAAATCTATTCTTTAGATGATCAGTGAATTCAGGGGGGATATTAAGGTCATATTTAGGCTCCTATCTACTTGTTATAATTGTCTTCAGCTTCAACTTGAATGTGCATATGAGCAGTTGGTGGTCTGCTGCACAGTCAGTTCCTGGCCTTGTTTTGGCTGAAGATATTGAGCTTTTCTCTTCTTTCCACAGATATAGTCAATCTGACTCCTGTGTATTCCATCTGACAAAGTCCACATGTATAGCCACAAATTTTGTTGTCAACAAAAGGTATCTGTAATGCATAAGTTGTTGGTCTTGCAAAATTCTATTATATGATCTCCAACATTATGTCTATCACCAAGGCCATAATTTCTAACTACTGGTAATTCTTCTTTGTTTCAACTTTTGGATTCCAATCACCAGTGATAATCAACACATCTTGATTGCATGTTTGGTCAATTTCAGACTGCAGATGTTGATAAAAATCTTCAGTTTTCTCATCTTAGGTTTGGTGGTTGGTACATAAATCTGAATAATAGTCATATTAACTGGTCTTCCTTGTAGGCATATGGTTATTATCCTATCACTGACAGCATTGTACTTCAGGATAGATCTTGAAACATTCTTTGTGACAATGCTTGCCATGCCATTCCTCTTCAATTTCTCATTCCCGGCATAGTTGGTCATATGTTGTCTGATTCAAAATGGTCAAAACTAGTTAATTGCAGCTCACTACTGCCTAGGATATTGATCTTTATGTGTTCCATTTCATTTTTGTCAACTTCCAATTTTCCTAGATTCATACTTCATACATTCCATGCTCTGATTACTAATAGATGTTTGCAGCTGTTTCTTCTCATTTTGAGTGATGCCACACCAGCAAATGGAGATCCCAAAAGGTTTATCCCATCCACATCATTAAGGCCAGCTCTCGTCAGAAGAGGCAGCTCTTCCTCAGTCATATTTTGAGTGCCTTCCTATCTGAAAAGCACATATTCTGGTATTATATTGGACAATGTTTCAGGGTTATTTATAAAAATTTCCAGTAATGTATCAGACAGGTTTTCACTGATATTCATAAGGTTTTCACTGGGCAATACTTTGAGAAGTGGATGGCCCCTTCCTTCATCTGAGTCTGTCTTAGTCTGGAAGCTCTGCTGAAATTTGTCCACTTAGGTGACCATACTGGTATTTGAAACACTGGTGGCATAGCCTCTAGCCTCACAGCAACACATAAGCCACCACAGTACAACAAACATACAGATGAGTGGTGGAATTTAAGGATAATACCAATATTTTTTTAATTTAATATTATAATTCTTATGACAGATGTTTTTCATCATTCAAAAGATGTTGTTTTCAAAGGCTAAAGAGAAAGTGTTCGCATGACAGAACATTCTATTTTAAAACAATATGTATAATTTTGAATATATTATATAAGGAAATAGATGTAAATGTTAGGATTAAGAAATAGAAAAGCAAACTAAGGATTCTATCAAGATAAGCACAAATTCTCTTTTACACAAAAGAAATAAAATACTCATTTTCTATTTCTCTGCACAGATGATCTATGTGGCACGAAATGCCAAAGATGTGGCTGTCTCTTACTATTATTTCCACCAGATGGCAAAAATACACCCAGATCCTGGTACCTGGGAGGAGTTCCTGCATAATTTCATGGCTGGAAATGGTGGGTCCAACTTTTCTTTTAATCATGGTGCTCCATAATGGAAGATCTTTTTTGTAAGAATATGTAAAGTTCAAATATAAATTATATGTCCGTTATAAATCTAGTATGTGCCCAATGGTCTAAGATATATTATAAAGAATATAGAAGATGCAGAATATGTTGTCTCTTCCCCTAAAGGAGTATAATTTTGGGAATATGTAACACATAGATTTTGGGGCCCATACTTTCATTTTTGTTATTGTTAGGTGCCATCCAGTGGATTCCGACTCATAGTGACCCTATGTATGACAGAATAAAACATTGCCTAGTCCTGCACCATCCTCACACTTGTTGCTTTGTTTAAGCACATTGTTGTAGCCACTGTGCCAATCTATCTCATTAAGAGATTTCCTCTTTTGCACTAACCCTCTACTTTACTAAGTGTCATGTTCTTCTCCAAGGACTTGTCCCTTCTGATAACATGTCCAAAGTATGTGAAAGAGGTCTCATCACCCATGCTTCCAAGGAGCACTCTGGCTATACTTCTTCCAAGACAGATTTGTTCATTTTCCTGACAGTCTATGGTATACTCAATATTATTCACCAACATCATAATTCAAAGACATCAATTCTTCTATCTTCTTTATTTGTTGTTTAGCTTTCACATGAATATAAGGTAATTGAAAATCCTATGGCTTGAGTGAAGCACACATTAGTTCACAAAGTGATATATTTGCTTTTAACACTTTAAAAAGGTCTTTTGCAGCATATTTTCCCAATACAATTGCAGTGTAGTCAATTACATAGTGTGACTTTTCTAGCCATAAGTCTTTGTAAACTCTGTTGGTAGAATTTGCTGTGAGCAATTAAGTAACTCCTAATTGTTAATCTTATCTACTTGGGGTATTTCTGTTGTGAGCAGCACACTGTAATTTTCTGGGAAGTTCTCTCTCTCTGAGGTGCATAGAATTCTGATGTCGGGATTGGTTGGTTTGGGCCACTCTGCGAGGCTCAAAAGGTGCCCTCCTATAGGCAGAAGGAGTCTTTCTGACTGCTGGCTAAGATAGGCTGCTGAGATAAACGTACTCCTAAGATACATGAGAGACACATGCTGCTGAGAGAGATGCAAGAGACGTGCACTACTGAGAGTGATTCGCTACTGAGACTGCCAGCTGCTGAATGAGATGGCTGGCTGAGAGAGACTGAGTGCGTTTCTGAACTTGAATTGTAGTCTGGTGCTTCCCTAATAAATCCTATAATCTGTGAGTTCTGTGTGGCCACTGCTATGAGTTATCAAACCCAGCAAAGACATGGAGGGTGCTGCAGGAGGAACCAATGGTGAAAAGGCTGGAAGGAGGCAGCATGTCTGGCCTTGCAAGAATAGGCCTTGGGCCACTGATGGTGATTCTGTCTTCCTCTTGTGGGGTTACAGGAGGTCAGAAGATGTGGCCTCCTTGCCCCTTTGGCAGCAATACATCAGTTGATTTCCTGAATGTTTCTTTAGACTAAACAAACCAAACCTACTACAATCAAGTCAATTACAATGCATTACAACCCCATTGGGTTTCCAAGGCAGTAAATCTTTATTGAAGTAGATTGCCTCATTTTCCTTCTGCAGAGCAACTGGTAGGTTTGAACTGCCAACCTTCTGGATAGCAGTCAAATGCCTCAGGCACTGCACCATCAGAGTTCCAATGCTTACTCATTACTGGAAAGTTTAAAGCATCCATACCATTATTGGCATCCATGCATTATACTGTTTAAATTTTGTACATATTCCTTGGACAGTCTTTTCTCTATCATTCCTTTGTTTTATTAATGAACTGTGAAGATTCTTGAGTGAGGGCTTTATCCTAGGTCTCTGTTATTCTACTTGTTTGTTTCCTGTTTCAAAGAAACACATTAATATCTATGGTAGTAACTCTCATGTATTCTTCAACTCCTGACTTCTCATGTAAGGCCATTAAATGCTTGCAGCACAAACCAATTTGGAAATCTGTTTTGTAAATTTCAAAGCAGATTTTATAAAATATCTTCAACTGCTTTTTCTTTTAAAAATACATTTGATATACTCATATGGTGGTGCCACCATATTTCTGCTGTTTTGGACTATAAAAGGTAGAGTCTTTTCTGAATCTTCTCTGGATATCAATTTTCATTAAATCTCAAAGATAATTTATTTAATTTATCATTATAGTAACTCTTAAATTATTTGCAGGTACGTTTTATTTGCTGCAAACCTAGAACATGTCTAAATTACCTAATTTTAATAATATAGTAATTTTTGCCCTTCAGTTTAGGCTCCACTAACTCCATCCTGTTGGAGATATAAATTTAAATAGTACTTAGTTGTTTTGATTTATGAAGGACCATAAAACTTCAGCATAAGCTCAATTTAATGTAGCAAGAAACAACAGGCTTTTCCAAGGCCTTGGAAAACGTAGAAACATTTCAACAGAGTTTTCATAAGACTCATTGGAAAAAATAGACCATAAAGATCAGAAATCAGAGAGACAATAAGCAGGGAGACCAATTAGAATACATTTGTAGAATACACTATGACTGAAAACCAAGATGTTAAAATTTTTTTAAGAGTACATTGCAATGAAATATGTGTATAGTTTATATCTTCAAATAAAATTTTCAATACTATTTCTTATTGGTGAGTTTCCATATGCCTGAACCTAATAGAAGCAGAAAACTTTTTTTTTTTTCTATATTATTTAACCAGCCACTTTAGCACTAATTTCAGTATGACTGATGTTAAATGAATCTCTTGGAAACATTTTACACCTGTATCATCACTGCCTAAAATCATGTAAAATGATTTTGTGTTACCTACAAAACAAAACCTGTATCTCCATCTATAAATGAAGACACTATATTTTTGTCATTGACTTCCATCTCCTTCCCTGTTTTTCCATGTTATCCTGTGAAAACCTTCTTACTGAGGCAACTACATCTCAAGGTATCTTGTATAGTTTCATGTTTGCTGTGACTTGTTGTATTCTCTGTCCATAGAATGTCATCTTTATTCTTTTCATTGCCAAAGCCCTTTCCTCCTTATATCCAAATATACTTTACCTTCTCCACAGCTGCTTCTTAACTACTCCACTCCTATGATGTTCTCACTTTTTTTTCCCTCTCTTAAAGACTGCCATATCATTTTCTATCTGTGTTACTCAGTATCTGCCAGGTTGCTCTCATATTTGTAGTTTTATTTATTAGAAGTATTTTCTCCTTTCTTAAAAAAAAAAAAAAAAAAAACTGAAAATCAGGGAGAATAGGTTATTCATTTACTTCCATTATCCTTAGCATGCACTTTCTTGAACTAATAGGTATTAATAAGTGTGTGTTGATAACAATGCCTTATAATGGCATCTGACAATTCTTTATTCATTCAAATAGTAAAAATTTGAAACTATTTTATCTTTAAATATAGTGTGCTTTGGTTCCTGGTATGATCATGTGAAGGGCTGGTGGGAGAAGAGGAAAGATTATCGTATCCTTTACCTATTCTATGAAGACATGAAAGAGGTAAGAGTCCACAGCAATTTTTTCTTTATTTTTGATGGAATCCCCATATGGCTAATCTACTATCCTATCAGTTTTCCATCCATTCCTCTTTTTTTGTTCACCTTATATCCATTTATTTCTATCACTTATTCCTCCACACACAGGCATCTATCTTATCTTTTTGGAGTTTCTTTTCTTCTATCCATTCAGTCAGAATGGTCTTTTTGAAAACTGAATCACAGTATGTCTACTACTGGCTTCAAATTTCTCAATGATTTCTGTTCCTATATAAAATGCAATGTCTTTAAGATCATTTAAAAAGCATGGCATAAGTTAGTCCTTATATATCCCTCCAACTTCTTGTGCCACTTTTTCCTTTCTGTCTAAGTGAATCTGCTGAAATCATTCTTTCCCTCTATCCGAGGACTAACATTATCCTTCAAGTCTTAAATGTCACCTCTACATAGAATATTTTTCCTGACCCCAAAGTTAAATAATCCTCACCAATATTCTCTGTTAAAGACTCTTTTGTTTTCATTGCTCTACCACAACTTGTAATGATTTTATGTGTGTGTTTCTTATATTTTATTGGTCTCCTCCACTGTAATATAAGTTCCTTGAATTTGAAACTGTAATTATCTTGTCCATGGTAGTTTCCACAGTGTCAAGCACATTGGGGAGACAATGCAATTTTCTTATTTAATCTATAAAACATCTAACTTATATTTTTCATCTTCCACTTGACTATTAATGTGGAAAAATAAATGGCTCTCTAATTTGATTTAAAAACATAGTCTGATCTAATTATTTAAACAGTCACTTTAAGAAATATCTGTCTTAAATTTTCTCATATACTCTCTTAAATTTATCTCAGGTAGCCAGCCCTTTTTCTCTTTAAGATAATGTCTGGGTGTATGGATTAATAGGTGAAGTATACATGACATTATGAGAATGAAGGAGGAGACAATGTCAACTGACTTTTATAGTCTGTAGAGTGATTTTCTTTCTTTTTTTAATCACCTGACTTCTGAAGCCATACTGGCATTCAAAACCAAAATAATTTCTTCTACTACATTGTCAGAATTAAACCAAACCCACTGCTATCAAGTTGATTCTGACTCATAGCAACCCTCATTGGGTTTCCAAGGTTGTAAATCTTTACAGAGGTAGATTGCCACAACTTCCTCCCACAGAGAAGCTGGTGAGTTGAACCACCAACCTTCTGGTTACCAGCTAAATGCCTTACCCACTGCACCACTAGAGTTCCTTATTAAATGCATTGCCTGTTAAGTGACTTAATCCACCTGATCTACTTGGAATAATCATTTTGCTTTCTAATTCTGTTAGGATCCAAAGTGCAGTCTTCATAAGTTGTTAAAGTTCCTGGAAAAAGAGCTTCCAGAAGAAACAGTAGATAAGATCCTCTATCATAGTTCATTCGACGTGATGAAGCAGAACCCAAGTGCAAATTATACTACTATGGCGTCTGAAATGGACCATTCTGTGTCACCCTTCATGAGAAAGGGTAAGAATATCATACAGCAGTTTTTGAATAGCTTTCTGGATACAATATAAAAGATGTGGGTGGGAAGATAAAAGTGATACTGAAAGAAATGGAAAGATACTGAGCATGCTGAGGAGGAAAACATAAAAATAAGCTTAGAGGTAACTGTGCAAACAAACCCTATCTTTTATGAAAGCCTAACATTCTCTAATAAGAACAATTTATGCCTCAGTAAGCATCAGCTTTGGAAGCATCAGTAACTTGTGCTTCAATAAGAGTCAGCCTTGAAAGTCATTTAATGTTGATTAAGGATAAGGTTGCACAGCTGGTTATTGTAATTATTGTCAATAAATTGTACATCTGTAAAACATTGAATTGGCAAGTGTTGTGTGACAGATATGTTGACAACAACAACAAAAGCAAACCAAAACAAAAAGATTAGCTGCTGAGGCTGCTTATGTACAACCAAAGACCTCATTTGGTTTAGAGGTTTAAGGTCGTGGTTTCATGGGACATCCCAATTAATTGGCCTAATAAAATGTGTAATGTTTCTGTTCTACCTCCTAGTTTGATGTGTAGTGCCTAGCGTCTTAAAACTTCCAAGCAATCATCCAAAGCGCAATTGGTCTCTAGCTGCCCGGAAAAACAAGGAGAAAAGGGGAGTCAGGAAAAGGAGGAGGATACAGAATACGTGGCTAATTGCCTGCAGGAACAACTGTCTCCTTTGCTATGAGACAAGAAGACCTGGGATGGTTCCAGGCTATCATTTCTGAACATTTTGATCAAATATTCCATAGAAGAGTCCTAGTCAAAAAGGAGAAATGCAGAACAGAATTTCAAATTCTCATGGACTCCAGACTTTGTGGATCCATGAAGATTGGATAAATTCCTGGAATTATTGCCCTGAGATAATCTTTAAAACTTAAACCAAAAATGGCCCCTGAAGTCTTCTTCAAAACAAACAATAATTTAACTTAAAAAGTTTTTTTTTTTTTTAAAAAAAAAAAGGTCTACCTTAAAAAAAAAAAAAAAATCTACCTTAAACATTATGCTCTTTTAAGAACTACCTATATGGAAGCTCTGGTAGCATAGTGCCTAAGGCATTTGACTGCTAACCAGAAGGCTGGTGGTTCAAACCACCAAACCTTGGAAGGAAGATGGGGCAATCTACTTCCATAGTGATACTGCCTCGGAAACCCAAGGAGGGGTCGCTATGAGTCGGGTCTGACTTGATGGCAAATAACAACAACAACATATGGGATCAAACTGATAATTGTAACTAGAAATATTAGATAGAAACTTTAGGGGGCAGTGAATTTATGTTAATAAGGAAGAAAAAAACTCAGAAAAGGAGAATAAGGATGGTTACAGAGCTCAAAGAAGGTAATTAATGTCACTAAATGGTGGCATAGTGCCTAAGGCACTTGGCTGCTAAGCAGAGGGTTGGTGGTTGAAACCCATCAGCTACTCCATGGAAGGAAGACTGGGCAATCTACTTCCATAAAGCTTTACTGCCTTGGAAACCCAAAGGGGGTCACTATTGAGTCAGAATGGAGTCAATGGCAGTGAGTTTTGTTTAAATGGTACATGTAGAAACTGTTGAAGTATATTGTGATGTGTATATATATTCTCAGCAACAAAAAATAAATAAATAAAAGTATATATTAAAAGGATGAAATTTATTTGTCTGAATGACCTAGACCTTTGTCTTCTTCCTTAAAAAAAAAAAAAAAAATTGCTATGGTAGATAACTAGCTTAAGTAATGTTAGGTGTAGAATTAATGAGATTGTCGTTGTTATTCGAAATCATTACACTCTCAGCATTGAACTCAAGGGACAGTATCTTGCACAAAATGGGCCTTCTGCAAAATTGTGGCCTACTGAGCTGAATTGTGTTTGTATGTGAGAGAAAGATGTTGTTAGTGTATTTATTAGTCAGCTTTCTATACAATAAACACCCAAGAATCCTAGTGACTTAAAAACCATGAGATTTATTTTTCTTTTAAGTTACTTGTTGGTGGATGTTCAGTTAGCTGTGACTGCTGCAGTTTTGCTCAACTCTTTTTCTTTTCACTTTTTCTGGTCTCTTCTGGGTTCATTTTCTTGTGCTTTCTTTCTGAAATCCGGGTTGAAAGAGGTGCCCATATGTGGGAAATATCTGACATCATGGTCTAGATGAAGAGCAAGAAGAGTCGGTAGAAACTAGTAATATCTTTTAAAGTTTCTGTTCAGATGTGGTATATGTCACACATAATCAAATTCCATGGACCAAAGCATATCAAAAAGGCAAGTCCAAAGTTAATGAGGCAAGGAAGAATGAGCACAACACATGACTAAGGACAGAGATGTAAAATCTCCTTAAAGTGAAGGGGAGGAGTGATAATTATTAACATTAACACAATCTGGGACAATTTTTGGAGACAAATATCCTTGTGAGGGGGTGCAAAGGAACTATTAAGGATAATTTTAATTATAAAGTATCTTAGTAGATCTGACAATTTTTTCAGAAAGAAAGTATGTATGTCATAGATAAATCTTGCTCTGAGAATATCTGATCTCAACTAGATATGAGTTAACCTCCTAGAGGACATTAACAAATGTTTAGAAATGCCTTTATCACTACTGGCATCTAATGAGTAGAGGCCAAGGATGCTGCAAAACACATGACAGTTCCCACAGCAAAAAATTATCTGATCCCAAAATGTCAATGATTTTGAGGTTGAAAAACCTAGACCAGACTGACCAAATTCTTTGGTGTGATTCCCCATCCCCATTTCCCCTATCCCAAAATAGCTTCCTTGACCTGTCTTCTTGGTAATCCTGTGAGATGTCCTATGAAAATGGTTTTCTGTTATCAAATATTCATAGCAAATCCTATTATTATTGTTGTTGTTATGTGCCGTCGAGTCGGACCCGACTCATAGCGACCCCTCCTTGGGTTTCCGAGGCAGTATCACTACGGAAGTAGATTGCCCCATCTTCCTTCCAAGGAGCGGCTGGTGGGTTTGACTGCCAGCCTTCTGGTTAGCAGTCAAGTGCCTTAGGCACTGCACTACCAGAGCTCCCAGCAAATGCTGTATCCTATGTTAGTCCTTCAAAATTTATCATATAATTAGTCTTTGGGAGACTTTGAAAAATCCTATAGTAAAGAAATCTGTGTAATTCTGTTTAATAGTAAGCAATTCCTGATCTTGCATAATTATATAATTTTATTTCTCATAAGATAAATTGCTGCCTCACTTTAGAAAGTATAATTTTAAAATGAATCAAAACATCTTTGTATTCTTTGTTAATAAAACTCTTGAAACCAAAGAGTAAGGGTTTTTGGCTTTCTCTCAGTGACAATTCTCAGAACTATTTAATGTATTAGTTTCTTACATAAGATACTGGAAAAACCTGTGGGAATTTGTATAAAGCTAAGAAGGTCTCACTTAGTGCCATTGAGTAGATTCGACTCATAGCAACACCTCCTTGGGTTTCCAAGGCGGTATCTCTACAGAAGTAGATTGCTCAATCTTCCTTCCAAGGAGTGGCTGGTGGGTTTGAACTGCTAGGCTTTAGGTTAGCAGGCAAATGCCTTAGCCACTTAGCCACCAGAACTCCTAGGAGTCTGAAAGTGGTAGTAGGTATCGAGGAAGAGAGCTGGGGGGCAGATATAACATTCTAAAGTTAAAAGCTTTTTTTTTTTTTTTTTGATGGTAATTCAATTAAATCTGATTTGAGGACATAAGTTTACAATAGTCTTAAATTTGCCATTTCATTTTTATTTATTTATTTTTCAGGTATTTCTGGAGACTGGAAGAATCACTTCACTGTAGCCCAGTATGAGAGATTTGAAGAAGATTATGCAAAGAAAATGAAAGGATCTACACTGCAGTTTCGATCAGAAATTTAAGAACATTTGTTCTTTCTCCAACTCTTTTAGCTGGCACCTAAGTCAAAAGGAAAAGAGAAAAACAAAACTCTTCAACTTTAATGAAAGGAAAGTCTGTGTGTGATGATTCCATATGTACTTACATTAGTGTTTGATGATACAATACATTAATGCTTTATAATAGTATATTTGGAGAATTTCAAAATCTACTGTGGAAAAACTAATACCATCTATGATTTTAACTTTTGGGTGGTAGTTTTGAAAACTAAAAATTAAATTAAAAAATAGGCTTAGAAAGCTACAAAGATATGTGCTTTATCTATTAAAGTCAATGAAACATATGTTCTCAGTGATTCAACTTGCAAAGAAAAGACTTAGGGAAGTTTTTAAGATGTATTTTTAAAAATCCCCTTAAAAAGGTTTTAGTTTCTCTGTGTTATATGCCTAAGATGACACCAGAGTCATATTAGGTAAATGACATTTGTGTGTGTGTGTGTGTGCACAAAAAGTTCATTGAAAATTATTGTTCTAGAATAGTTTAAAAAAGACAAACTTTTAGAATAATTATTAATCATAGTTTTCTCATGTTATAGCTTATATATGAATTATCTAAAATAACACCAATAATGTAATCAATAAATTCATGTTGCACAAATATTGTCTGCATAATACATGAGCTGCTTTCAGACCTAAAATCAATGAACAGTAATTCATGATAATACCAAACTAATCAAATTTATTAAACACTTCCTATGTATAAATGTGCCTTACAGATAACAAAGAATAAAACACAGATCCTTATTATAAAGGACTTTAAGTTGGAGTAGGGAGAATAAAAAAATGATTGTGAGAAGAACATAGAAACAACCACACTACTAACAGCTGATATTTATTGAAATTTTACTATAGAACAAGTGCTGTGTTATATTATTTGTATGGCTTTACTTCAATCTTTTAAAGATACACATTGTGGTTTTCCCAGTTTTACTGACAAATAAAAAAAGTTCTGTTCAATTTTGGTAATACATTTCTATCATCATATAACATGTGATGTCATTGCATTTTTAAAATAATTTTAATAATCAGTGCAAAACCCACTGAAGCTCTTTGGAAATTGTTTTTTGAAATTTGGTTTCCCAGTTCTTTTAAGTATGTTGATATGACAAACAAGCATTACACACTACACATGATTAAACTCATCATCACATAGGATTAAATTCACCAACTCAGATAGGTATTATCTTCTATCAAAAACATGACTTTGATATAGGCAGTTCAATTACATTCAAGATGTGAGAATATTCAGCTCCCCTTTAAGGCCAGTTCAGATACATTAAATCTTATAAGAATTGGCCAACACTCCTTATCTTATAGCATCTAAAGCAAGGAAAGTTTGAGTGATCTGATTATTTCTATTCTCCATATCACATATCTATTATGCTACAGTTGGTCACATTTGCTCAAAAATTTCCCAGAAATGACCATTCTGTCCACTCTTTTGTTCATGATATTAAATCATATTTGGATCATCTCTCAGGATTTCTGTGTAATGCTCTAGATATGGCATTGCTCTCTCTGACACTAATCATTTCAATTTCAAGGTACAGACTGTCTTATCCAAGATTCACTTATTCAACAGGGAAGAAATAAACCATAGATGCACAGAACAATTGTGATGAATCTCCAGGGAAATATGCTAAGTGAAAAAAAAGCTAATCCCCAAAAGGTCAATATTGTATATTTTCTATTTACATAACATTCTTGAGATAGCATAATTATAAACGTGGAGAACAAATTAATGGCTAGAAGTTGTGGGAGGAAAAGGGAGATGATGAGGGGAGGTGAGTGTGAAATGGCAATACCAGAGATCCTGTGGTTATGGAACTGTTCTGTGTCTTGATTGTGTCAACATCAACAGCCTGATTGTGATATTATATTGTAGTTTTACAAGATGTTGCCATTGAGGGAAGCTGGGTAGAGGGCACATGGAGTCTCTATTATTTCTTACAACAACAACAAATAAGAATATACAATTATCTCAACATATAATGTTTAATTAAAAAGAGGACACTTTTAAAGTAAACAGAGGTAACTATAGCCTGAAATGAAGCTTGTTGTTGTTAGGTGTTGTTGAGTTGGCTCTGACTCATTGCGACCCTACATACAACAGAATGAAACACTGCCTGGTCCTGCACCAGCCTCACAATCCTTCCTACACCTTATCCCATCATTGCAGCCACTGTGACAGTACATCTCCTTGAGGGCCTTCCCCCTTTTCACTGATCCTCCATCTTGCTAAGCATAATATTCTTCTTCAGGGAATGGTCCCTTCCAACAACATGACCAAAGTAGGTGAGATGAAGTCTGGTCATTCTTGCTTCCAAGGAGCATTCCAGCTGCACATCCTCCAGGACAAATTTGTTAGTTCTTCTGGCAGTCCATGCCATGGTACTTTCAGTATTCTTGGCCAACACAACTCAAAAGCATTAACTCTTCTAGTCTTCTCTATCATTGTCCAGCTTTCACATGCATATCAGGCAATTGAAAACACCATGATAATCACTTGATAATCACCAAACAATCCTGAGTCTTCAAAGAGACATCTATGTCTTTCAGCACTTTAAAGAGGTCTTTTGCAGTAGCTTTGTCCAGTGCAATAAGTACAGTGTTTCACTGCTATTCATAAACTTTTCACTGGCCAATTCTTTGAGAAGTGGATGGCCCCTTCCTTCTACCAAGTCTATCTGATCTTAGTCCAGAGGCTCTGCTGAAACCTGTCCACCATGGGTGACCCTGTTGGTATTTGAAATACCACCATAGCCTCTACCCTTACAGCAACACACAAGCCACCATAGTACAACAAACTGACAGATAAGTGGTGGAAACAAAGCTTAGTCAAAGAAAACCAGTTACAGGACAATCTAAGGTGTTCTGAGGGAAGCTCTGGTGGCATAGTGCCTAAGGCTAACAAGAAAGCCTACAGTTTAAATCCACTGACCTCGGAAGGAAGACTGGGCAATCCACTTACATAGAGATAGCACCTCAGAAACCCAAGGAGTGGTCACTATGAATTGTAATTGACTCGATGGCAGTAGGTTTTTTTTTTTTTTTTTTTCCTTGGCTTATCATTAGTAATATGTTGCAACATGTAATTTTGTGATGTTATTCTCAAAATTTCACTTGCTTATGTTCAATGTTATGACATTGTTCAAAATTCTGCAGATTTATAAAGTGCCTTAAAATAAAAGGTATTAGTGAAAACTAAAAGAAAAAATGATGTATTAAACATATCATAACAGACCCATGACAGAGTCATTGGAGTAGAACCCCTTCATAAGTCATGGACTACTTTTATGTAATCCTCTGAAGAGGTTCACTGTCCTGTTTGCATCAACAGTATGGAATTTTAAAAAGATAACAAAGAAATTTCTATAGGTAGAGACAAATATTGATTTGGGTGAAGTGGAGGGCAATGTACCAAAGTAAGTGATCAGCATGGTGGCACTAAGGAAGAGAAAGAGACATAGAGAGGTACACATGAGGTATAGACAACAAAGAAGAACCCTTTTGCATGTACAGTATTGTGCTGTCAGTGACGCCAAAATTTGATCTATGGGTGAGTAGATGGGTGGACAGGCTGCATGATCAGATATGTCTCGGCAGGGAGGAGTGTGCCCATGACCATGTATAGGATTACCAGACAATGTTTCTACATGTGTATTTGTATGTGCTATAAGAATGTCTGGGTACATAGTAGAGCTGACAAGGGGCAAGGTTTTGGTGGCTTCTTGGCACAGCCAGCTACCCAGAGGAAGCAATTAATTAGACCAGTGGGCTAAGAACCATGGTTACAGGGAACATCAAGCACAACTTGCATAACATATTACACAAAAGCATTGTTCTACATCCTACTTTGGTGAATAATGACTGGGGTCTTAAAATATTGCAAGCAGACATCTAGATGCAACTATGGGTCTCTCCTCATCCAGAGCAAAGAAGAATGAAGTAAATCAAAGATGCATGGAAACAATTAGTCCAAGGGAATGGTGGACCATGAGATCCTCAGCCTATATGACCGTGAGACCAGAAAAACTAGATGGTGCCCATCTACCACTATCCACCACTCAGAGGGGGATTGGTGCAGGAGATCCTGGATAGAGGGGAGAACAATGTGGAACAAAACTCAAAATCATAAAAACAAAAGACCCCTGAAACTATGGCCCCTACTTACCCTTCAGGTCTGGAACTGAACTCACTCCTATAGCTTCCAGCCAAACAAGACAGACATATGGAGTAAACATTTACATCAGATAGGTACACTCTTTGGAGTGATCAATCACAAGAGAACAGAAGGGCATTCTTTGTATAGGGAGACAGCTTGGAGGGTGAGAGTTCATGGGAGGGAAGGACAGAGGGAAGAGGTAACTACAGGGAGGAAGTGGAAAGACAGCTGTTACATATGTGGAAATTGTAGCCAATGTCATGAAACAAAATGTGTATGAACTGCTGTACAGAAAAAAATTTTTCTCTGTAAACTTTCACCCAAATCACAATAAAAATTAAAAATACTTATATTATTAAAGAAAAAAAAGAAATTTGTTCTAACTTCTGTTGTTGTTGTTGTTGTTACTTGCCATCGAGTCGCCCCCAACTCATAGCGACCCCTCCTTGGGTTTCCGAGGCAGTATCACTACGGAAGTAGGA